ACGATGACGGCGTCGTCTCGTCGGTGATGAAGGTTTTCGAAGGAATTCGAAATGCGCGCGCAGCGGACGCGCGAGAGTGGCTCGCAGGGCAGTATTTGACACGGATCGTGCCACCCCAGCACGCGCGCAAGGGCGCCCGAACGATTTCGACATGCGCGCGCGAAGCCCGTTTGGTAGCATGTTATATGAAAATGTTGAAAACCGATTGTTTTCTTAAGAATTCTCAAGAGCGCGCGCGCACGTTTTGTTTTGACAATCCGTGTTGCGAAGCCAATTGGTTTATATCTTTTTTGGACCGCCGACTTGAATGCCTTCCGAAACCGAAGGTTGTTGAAGGATTTCGGCATGCGCGTGCGCACTTCGTTACTTTCTGTTGCAAGGGATTCTCTCGACGGCACGCACGCAAAAGCGTTCGAACCATTTCGGCATGCGCACGCGAAGCCTGTTTGGTAGCATTATATGAAAATGTTGAAACACGCATGGTTCCCATGACAATTCGCAAGAGCGCGCGCGCACTTTGTTTAATCCGTGTTGCGAAACCGTGTGCTGTTTAATGTGTCTTGGGCACTCGATTTTGAATCCCTTCCGAAACCGAAGGTTTTGAAGGATTTCGTCACGCGCGCGCGACAACGCGCGCGTGTGCACTTCGGAAAGGGATCCTTGGACAATTATGATGGTTGGTAAACGAGTGCGCGCCTAGTTTTTTTTGGAGGGATGGCCGGGGGGGGCGATACCGCCCCCCCTGGGATGATGTATATTCATATTTGGGATGGACCACGGGGCAAAATTATATGTCAATTGCAATACTGAAAAAAAGGGCCCTTCTTAAGATCGGGGGTGCCAGGGTGGTAGAACCTTTCTATTTATACATCTATAGAATGACAATCTAAGTGGAGCAACGTACGTGGCGGCGACGGGGCTGCGACGGCAACAACATTGCCGCCAGAACGGCACACAGGCCCAGACAACGGGCGGCGACGAGGCGGCGACGGGGCAGCGACGGGGCGGCGACGGCGACAACATAGCCGCCAGAGCGGCAGACATGCCCAGACGACGGGCGGCGACGAGGCGGCGACGGGGCGATGGCGACGGCGGCAGCATAGCCGCCAGAGCGGCGGACAGGTCCAGCTCCGTAGAAGAGAAATGAGAAACCCTATGCGCAGACATTGTTTTTGGAGAATTTGTGGTAGTCGCAGTACTAGCATGACGTATTCGCTTAGTCGCAGTGGAGTGTTGAAATGATTGAAAATTTAGTGTGGGCCGAATTTTCAGGAAATGACGTGGGGGGCAAAAAGCGCCCCACGAACACGTACCCCGATTCAGAGAATGAAGTTTGGTCGGCTCTGGCGACAGGGTGGGCCTTTTGATCGGCCTCCGTTGAATGTGTTCGTGGCCTCGGTATATGCGAACGCGTCGCAATTTACCATTCTTTATAGCCTCGGGAGCGCGAATCTACCACAAAGTAAACGATGTGTGGTCTCGGGAGCGCGGGTGCGACGTATTCATTAGATATTGTAATTCGGAGAGGACAATTCGCCATACTTCAACACGAGTTATTGGCCCCGGAAACGCGAACGTCATGCAGTTGACAAGCGAGAGTAGTTTCGGGAGCGCGAGCGCGGCGTGATCTACTATGGGTTTGCAGCTCCGAGTGCGCAAGCATGGCGCATGTTGTCAGGGTTTGGGGGGCTCGGGAATCTGGATTCGTAACGGCTTAACAAAGATTATGGCCACGGGGTCGCAAACATGTGGCAATTTATTGAGGAGCGGGTCTGTTGCTATCGACCAAGGATTGTGGCTTCGGGAGCGTGAATTCGTTATAATAAACGCCAGGTTGCGACCTCGGATACGCAAGCGTGCTGCGATTCCCTAACCAGCGATTGTGAACATGTTCTAAGAAACCGAATGCGGGGATCGCCGGATCTGGGATCGGTCGGGCGCCTTGGCTTCCCGTGGTTTCCTATCGCATGCGCATGATTGATATGAGTTGTTGGTACTAATCGTACGAGTAGTACCTTTAGAAGTATTGGTACGACAAGCAGTAGTATTATTTTGAAGTCTCGCATTGGCAGTCGCCTTCCTCATTATATCCGTAGTTGTCGGATGATTACGAGCACGGTATCGTTAGTACAAGTACTAGGATTCATTATTCTCTTCTTCTTGTACTTGAGCCTTCTTCCAGATTCTCACTGACGCCCAACCATACCATCGTCGATCTCACAGGTACTCCAGCCTTCTCCTCCTCCTCCTCGTCATCCTTCTCTTCTAGCCCCTCCTTATCCATTAGAACCATATACTATAGTCGGGCAGATGTGTGCTATAGTATACTTTTTCAGCACATGCCCCCCCCACACACACACACACACACACACACACACACACACACACACACACACACACACACACATACACACATACATACACACACAAACACACACATGATGATAGAGGAAAACAAATAGTAAATATGCGGTACCATTCCCCACAAGGACACACATATGTATAGACAAAAGTGTATCATACCGTACTACGGTTTTATATGTTGTTGTCTCTCTAGGTGTCTCCATCTATGCCGCTCTCTCTTTGACCCACGTTGGAAATTGTTTAGGGCATGTTGCCGCAATGGTGTAGTATATAAGAAGTTGTTGCTTCAGGAGCGCGAGTCTATCCTAATTTTCAGTGGGGTGTGGCCTCGGTGGCGCGAATATGTTGTATTTCGCGTGTCCCAGGACACCTCCAGAAATTCAGAAGAACGCATGACTCTGAGAGGGGGAACAGCCGCTTTTCGGCTTGGGCTCCTCGCAATGGACCTGTTGCAGGGAACAAGAAACCCAGTCCTCGCAGCCTGTTGGCCCCACAGTGGCTGGCGGATTGCGCTGCGGATGTGCACGTTACGTGGCGCAAGGTATGTAGTGCAAGCTATGGAACGCAGTAGCGTGGCGCAAGCTGCGCGGTGCAAGCTTTGTGGTGCAAGCTATGTGGAGCAAGATATGTGGTGTAAGTTATGTGGTGCAAGATCTGCGGTGCTGATAATTCCCTACCTAGGCTCTGCCTAGAGGGTTCTTACTCTCTTTCTTAAAGGGGCCGGGCAGTGCACACCGCCCTGGGCGGTTCCCCCAGTATCCGCCCCGCGGTTCCCCCAGGTACGTCCCCTTAGCTTAGCGTTGTTGATCTCATCTTAGCTTAGCCTAGCTTAACTTAGCTTAGCCTAGCCTAGCCTAGCCTAGCTTAGCTTAGCTTAGCTTAGCTCAGCCTAGTCTAGTTTAGTTTAGCTTCGCTTAGCTTAGCTTCGCTCAGCTTAGCTTAGCGCAGCATGAGCATAGCATAGCATAGCATAGCATGTCATAGCATATCATAGCATAGCGCAGCATAGCATAGCGCAGCACATCATAGCATAACATACCATAGCATAGCATAGAGCAGCATCGCATAACATAGCATAGCATAGCATAGCATAGCCCAGCTTAGCATAGCACAGCGCAGCATAGCATAGCATAGCATAGCATGGCATAGCATTGCGCAGCATAGCATAGCATAACATAGCATAGCATAGCGCAGCATAGCATGTCATAGCATAACCTAGCATAGCATAGTGTAGCGCAGCATAGCATAGCATAGCATAGCATAGCGCAGCATAGCATAGCATAGCGCAGCGTAGCATAGCATCGCATAGCCTAGCATAGCATAGCGCAGCCTAGCATTGCATAGCATAGCATAGCATAGCGCAGCATAGCGCAGCATAGCATCGCATAGCATAGCATAGCATAGGAGGACGGCGTTTACCGTTACTACTAATATTGTTCTCCTCGGGGCTCAAATTCCTAGGTAGGGTCGCTCTGGGATAAGCTGTGTTTGCTAAGTTATATCAGTTGTGTGTGTCGCAAGCGGTGTGGTGCAAGCCACGTGGTGTACGACAGCTACGCGGTGCAAGCTATGTGGTTGTTGAATCTCTTTGGTGCATTCTACGCGGCCGCCCAGCGCACGAGGCGCACACGGCCGGACACCAGGCGAAGCCTCGGCACACCCACCCACCCGGCGCACGAGGCGCACACGAGGCGCCCTCGAGGCGGCCACCGGCCGGGCACCAGCACAAAAGCCAGCACATCCATCCAAGAGGAGGAGGAGGAGGAGGAGGAGGAGGAGGAGGAGGAGGAGACGGAGAAGGAGGGGCAGGAGAGGGAGGAGGGGCAGGAGGAGGAGGAGAAGGAGGAGAAGAGGGAGGAGGAGGAAGAGGAGGAGGAGGAGGTGGAGGAGGAGGGCTAGGAGGAGGTGAAGGAGGAGGTGGAGGAGGAGGATGAGAAGGAGGAGGAGGAGGAGGAGGAGGAGGAGGAGGAGAGGGAGGAGGAGGAATTACCTTCTGGAAGCGAAGTAGGAACCCATAAGTGCAAGCACTGCTGTGCGGGGGAAGCACGACGGGAGGTGTTTGACCTGGTCCTGCATGTTTTGGAAGGTGCCCCCGCGACCACGGCTGCATTTGCTCGGAGGCCTTGGCCAGAGCACACCCATGGAGAGGCCCAGAGTTATGATGTTCCAACCTTTAGCCTTGACAACCAGAAAGAATTTCGAGCGCCGAGAAAGTACCGAAACTTGAAGGTTTTCACGTGTCGGGCCTTGGGAGGCGATATTCGTTCGACACTGTTTCGATACTTTCCTGGGTGCTCGAAATTATTTCTGGGATGTCGTCCTCAAGTACGATGGGAGCAGCATAAGCCCAGAGGTCGATCTTGACAGAGGCATCCGTGCTTCCAGAGGGGGGTGAGGGGGGGCGAGGTTTCGCAGCGATTTTGGCAAGAGCTGTTGATATTCTGCTTTGGGGGCCTTGGACAGGCCACCAGGCTATCAGAAATCGGTTCGCGATGGAGAGCCAGCCCTAAGAAGGGGGTTCAGATCTCTGGGGACCCAGGCGGTGCACCAATCACGACGTCGGGGATCCAGGCAACTGTGCACGAGGATCTGGCTCTGTGGATGGCAGCTGCGTTTTTTGTTGCCACTCTCCGCAGGCCAAGCGGTGGGGTCTAGCCAGAGCTCTGCGCAGGGCCGTCGGACGCGTTCACATCACCAAATTCTACATCCGCCACACTTCCCGGCTCAACCGCACAGACTCGAATGCAGAGGTGGAGACCGATTTCGAGGTGGATGAGGAAGAAGTCGACGATGCCAATGAACTCGTCAATTTGATTACGAATTCTTCTGACGACATTCAGAATGAGACCGATAGCGCCATGTTGGAGCAGGATTGGACGAACGAGACGTCGTCTGTAATCGAGGCGCCTGTCACGATGGATCTTACCGCTGTGGAATCTGCAGAAGTGGTCATCGAAGAATCAGAAAAGGCACACACAAATGAGGCGTTCCTCCTCATCCTCCTCCTTCGATCTCCTTCGAGGACCGAAGGAGTTGGCATCTCCTCATTGGCGGAAGGCGGCGGAAGGGCGCAGAAGCCCACGGGGAACGAAAGCGAGGGCAGCTCCGCTGGCGGAAGCTGGCCAAAGGCCAACGGAAGTTGGCGGAAGTATAAGTCTGTCCATTCCTCCTCCTCCTCTTCCTCCTCCTCCCAAGATTTGGCTTAAGTCGGGCGTGTCCCTCTACAGGGGGAATATTCACACGTAGCCTAGAAATAGTCGGGGCACTACTTTTCTACTATTTGGAATTCGTTTTGCATTTGCTTGGAATATTTCTCATCTGTCCTCCAAAATCCGCCTGTAGGAGGACATGCTCAACCTAAGGTTTGGCGCCAGGTTTTGTCGGTTCAGGGGTTATTGAACTCGCCAAGTGGCCCGCGGTACGCGCAGACTTCGTGGGTCGGCGCCGGACCCCCTCCCAAACACCCTCTGCACCGGCGCGCGGAGCGCGCCAATGGCGGCGCCAGGGGCGCCGACCCGGAGTGCGAGGAGGGGGGTCCAGCGTTGAGTCGGGCTTGTCCCTCTACAGGAGGAACATTCAAAAATTGCCAAAAAATGTCTGGGGACGATGTTTTGACTATCTTTGAGTGTTGTTTACATATTTGTTGATTGTTCGCCCAAAATCCGCCGGTAGGGGGACATGCCCGACCTACGTCCAGCGCCGACCCGAGAAACCCGCGTCGAGCTTCGAACATCGAAGAACCAAAAGCGGCATGAGCAGAAGTTGTCGGCCGTCCGCACGGATCTCTTGGATCGGTGTTGGGCCCGCTCATAGCGGCGCCACCGGCGCCGCCCCTGGCGCTCCGCGAGGCCAGGGAAGGCGGTCCAGCGCAGATCGAGAAATTCGTGCGGACCGTCGAAAGTTTAATGTTGTATGCCGTTGTTCTTCTTCTGGAAGGGTTTAGGCTTACGCTTGCAGTAAGGGGTTTGCCAAAGGTTTGCCACGAAGCCCCTGCTGGGGCCTCGGTTGCGCTCTGATGTGCGAGAAACGCCAGGGGAAGACTATGATTAGGGAACTTCGAGCCCCTTCCGAGACCAAAAAGGACCTCATCCCAAAGTTTTGACTGCATGCCGTTTTGGAAGCCTTCCAGGTCACCGAAGCGCCCACCGCAGCGCCCACCGCAGCACCCACTCCGGCGCCCACCCCGAGCCCCACGCCGAGCCTCTCGCCAGCTCCCACGCCGAGCCCCAGCCCCGTCGCAGGCCCTGTGAGCGCCGTGGGCGATCCCCACCTGCAGAACGTGCATGGCGAGAAGTTTGATCTGATGGTGGAGGTCGTAGGGCGCCAACTATGTCCTGAGATCCAGGCGTCGCGAGTATTCACGCCCGGCGTGTTCTCCCAGCTTCAGTCCCCCGGGTCTTTCGGAGTGCCCAGGTCGAGAAATGCCGCAGAGAGGTAGGATCTCGGGCTCAAGGGACGTGATGTCGCACGATTCTGCAACTTTTCCGCGACGTCAGACCCCAGGGTACACCCATCCATTGTGGCGTCTTGAAGGAATCACGACGGAAGGTGTCTGGTCACTTTCTCCTCCGGGGGCCTTTGCCAGATCCCGTGGCCGTGTAACGAGTCAGGGTGAGCAGCAGGTCCCCGGGAAGTGTGCGAGACTTCTCGGAGCCCACGATGTGGAAACGCACGACGTCGGGGGCCTGAGTATACATTTGATGGGCCGAGTTTCCACCACCACTACCATAGGCAGGAGAGGGAGGCGGGAGAAAGAGGGGGAGGAGGAAGAGGAGGAGAAGGAGGAAGAGAAGGAGGAGGAGGAGGAGGAAGAGGAGGAGGAAAAGGAGGAGGAGGAGGAGGAAGAGGAGGAGGAGGAGGAGGAGGAGGAGGAGGACAAGGACCTCCACATCCTCCCTCCTCCCCCGTCCTACTTTTGGCACGATTCCGGTCACGCCCCGCTCGGGCCGAGGAACGGCGCATGCGCCTCCCCGGCCAGGCCACCGGCCCCGGGCCCAGGGTGGGCCCGGGGGCAGGATCGGGCCCGGGGCCAGAGGACCGATCAAGGCACAGGGAAGAAGATCGGGGGCGGCCCACTTGGATCGCCGCGGTGGTTGCGAAGGGGATGGGGGGGGGGTTAGAGTTAGGTCGGGCCTGTCCCCCTACAGAGGGGATTTTCGACGAAAAATAAAAATATTTCAAAATACCCCAAGAAGGTCAAAAAATATTCCAAAAATACTCCCCAGACTATTTTTGGATTATTTGGGGGGATTTGTTTTTCGTCGAAAAGACCCTGCATGGGGGACAGGCCCGACTTGTTGTTAGAGGTGGATGCTAAAGTGGGTTTTGTCTGGCCTCGCCCACCTTATCAGTGGGTTACAAGCATCCCATGTTGTTCAGGATGATGAGGTAACTCCGCTAAGGGGGCTCCGCCCACTTGGCCCAGTTCTGCACGCCCTCAAGCCATTTACGGCACGTGCAACCCCCTTCTAAGCTGGGTCAGGCTGGATAGAACCCACCTGAACATCCACCTGTGTCGCCCTATCCTCTTAGCAACCCCCGCGGCGATCCAAGAAGAGGGGGGTGATGACTAGGGAGGGGGGGATATCATGGCGGAGGCCATGACATCGCCCCAGATGTCATGGTGCCTCCTCTTGTTCCAACACGTCCCTGGCCCCCCCCCTGGGCCGCGCACGTGCCGCCGGCCATGATGTGCACCCCTCCACCTCTTGGACGCCCCCCTCTTGGACGCCTCCGCAGAAAACAGCTGCAGAAACGTTAGAAACGTGCACCCCCCCCCTCTTGGACGCCCCCCTTTTGGACGCCCCCGAAGATAGCTACGGAAACACAGCAGAAGCGCTGAGGAACGCGCGGGATTCCCGGATCGGCGCTGGACGACCCCCCCCCCCCAGGCGCCGCCAGGGGGGCCCAGCGCCGACCCGCGGAGCCCGCGCGTCACTTCGGGCTCGCACGCTTTTACGTCGGCGCCTGCTGCCCCAAGACTTGGGTCGGGCGTGCCCCCCTGCAGGCCGATCTTCGGCGAACAATAGGAAGAGTCCAAAAAGATCTCCCAAAAGAGCTCCAGAAAATGCTCGAAACATCGCCCCCCGACTACTGTTTCGACTGTTTGTTCGATTCTTGTTTGACTATCTTTGGACATTTCCTCCCGTAGAGGGACACGCCCGACCCGGCCCAGGGCGAGCCCCTGCGCTCGGAGCGGGGCGGGGGCCGAGGCGGCGGCGGCTCGCGGGCCGCGCAAGGGGGGGGCCCGTCGCACCGCGTGCTCGTGACCCCGAGCAGGGCCCCGCCCCGTCGCGGCGGCGGCGGCGGCCTGGCTCGGGGGCGGCAGAGAGGGGGGTGATGACTAGGAGGGGAGGAGGAGGAGGAGGAGGAGGAGGAGGAGGAGGAGGAGGAGGAGGCGGAGGAGAGGAGGAGGACGAGGAGGACGAGGAGGACGAGAGGAGGAGGAGGAGGAGGAGGAGGAGGAGGAGGAGGAGAGGAGGAGGTGAGGAGGAGGAGGAGGGAGGAGGGGGAGGGGAGGGGGAGGGGGAGGGGGAAGAGGAGGAGAGGAGGAGGAGGCGGAGGAGGAGGAGGAGGACGAGGAGGAGGACGAGGACGAGGAGGAGGGGGAGGGGGGGAGGGGGAGGGGGAGGGGAGGAGGGAGGAGGAGGAGGAGGAGGAGGAGGAGGAGGAGGAGGAGGAGGAGGAGGAGGGAGGAGGAGGAGGGAGGAGGAGGAGGAGGAGGAGGAGGAGGAGGAGGGGAGAGAGGGGAGGAGGGAGGAGGAGAGGAGAGGAGGAGGAGGAGGAGGGAGGAGGAGGGGGGGAGGAGGGGAGGAGGAGGAGGAGGGGAGGAGGAGGAGGAGGAGGAGGAGGAGGAGGAGGAGAGGAGGAGGAGGAGGGAGGAGAGGGGGAGGGGGGGGGGGGGGGGAGGGGAGGGGGAGGAGAGGAGGAGGACAAGTGCAACCCAAAGACGGGCCCGTCGAAGTCTGGGCGGGCAGTTCTTTTCGTGTCGCTCCACTGCGTGTTGCGTGCCCGGCCCTCCCTGGGTCCTCTCGGGGTCGGGGGCGGAAAAGAGGGGGGTCATGATTAGGGGGAGGTGGATGTCATGGCGGGGGCCATGATATGTCCCCAGATTTCATGGCGCCTCTTCTTATTTCACTACGTCCCTGGTCCCCCCGCTGGGCCGCGCACATGCCGGCGGCCATGATTTGCACCCCCCCCCCTCTTGGGCACCCCCCTCTTGGCCGCTCCCGACTGGCGGCCCGCACAGAATCGTGTATAGCCAGGACCCCTGGTAAGGGGACCGGTTTAGTAGTAGGGCCCCAGAGCCCCTAAGGTGGCCACAGGATCTTTGAACCAGGTCTGCCGTAGCTGGAGTTTTTCGTGTGGCGGCAGCTCCGGTCAGTGGAACGGGGCGGGGGGGGGTCCCCCAGTACACATCACTAAACCAGGTCCCACTAAACCCAGTTCTGCCAACGCCCGACAGAAGTCGGTTGTTGCCAGAATTAGGTCGGGCGTGTCCCTCTACAGGAGGAATATACAGTGGGGGCGCGCATCAAGAAACCATATGCTTTTCGCCAGGGTGTCCTGGGTGTCTTCGCTCCTCGCGCCGCGCGGCGACTTCCCGCAGCCGTCGAAGGAGCTGTTGCGTTCAGGGTGCTCCAGGTTTCCCTTCAGGTGCACTTCGCGCACGGGTTCTCAGGGTTGGGTTTCTTGCGAGGGTTTCTTGCGGCCGCGTCCGCACTGTATTCAAAAGTGGTCAAAAAATAGTCTGGGGACGATCTGTTGATTTTGAGCAGTTGTTGATCATTCTTGGGGTATGCTTTATTTCTCGTCCAAAGTCGACCTGTAGGGGGGCATGCCCGACCTGATGCTAGAAGGAAGGGCCCCCGGCCCAAGGTGCCCCCAGGATTTCCAGGGAGGCCCCCACGGCCTCCTCAGCACCCCATCGCGAGGGCCAGGGGGCCCCCCGGGATGGAGCGACAAGCTGGGGGCACCTTGGGCCAAGGGTACACGCCAGTCGTTGAAAGTAGGTATTTCTGGATTCCCAGATCCCAACCTACTTCAAGCGCCTTCCTACGTCAAGAGTCGAGCGGTTTTCCTTCTTTCCTCCGCTTCAGGGGGCGGACGGAAGTCCAATCTACTTCCAACGCTTTCGTGCTTCATGTGTCTACCCACTTCTTCCGACTAGCGTGTACTTTTTAGCAACCCCCGAGCAGAAAGGGGGGGCGCACAGGCGGGGGGGGGCTTCTAAGAAGGCAGGGGTGCTCAGAGGGCAGCCTCCTGCTCCTGCTCCTGCTCCTGCTCCTCAACCTCTCCTCCTCCTCCTCCTCCTCCTCCTCCTCCTCCTCCTCCTCCTCCTCCTCCTCCTCCTCCTTCTCCTCCTCCCCTCCGCGTCTGCGCCGACAACGGCGCGTGAGCTGCCCGCGTAAGGTCGCGCTTATGCGCCCTCGCTTCCGGCGTGGCGTGCTGCACTGGCGGCCCGCGCGAGCCACCGCGCAGGGTCCTTGTGTCATTTCGCGGCCTCACCACCCTGAGCCACACAAGGCCACGTGCAACCCACTCAGAAGCTGGGCTGGGCCAGCTGGAACCCGCCTTGGCGCCCACCTCGAGCCCCCGCCTACCCCCGGCGACCACCGCGGCGCTCCGAGCACCTCCTCCGACCGACGCGCCCGGCAGGCCGCCCGGCCCCTCCATGACGAGGCCCCCGCCCGTCCGAGAAGCGCCCCCGGGGCCGCGTCCCCCGGGGGGGAGCCGCCCCCTCGCGCCCCCCCCTTGCCCTATAGCGCGTGCCGCCGCGGAGGGGGCCGCCGAGGGGGCCGCCCGAGGGGGCCGCCCGAGGGGGCCGCCCGAGGGGCCCCACCGAGGGGCCCGCCGAGGGGGCCCCCCGAGGGGGCCCGCCGGGGGGCCCGCCGAGGGGCCCGCCGAGGGGCCCGCCGAGGGCCTCCAGGGGGGAGGCCGCTCCTCCCGCCCAGCGCGGCTGCCGCCGCCTCGGCTCGCCCTCCTCGGCTCGGCGACTGCCAAGGGGAACTCGTTGCGCTGGGATGCGGTCTGCGATGGGCACCCGTCGGGGCCTGGGGAGCGACGACGCTGTCCTCGTCGGGCCGCATCGGGGCGCGGCGGAGAGCTCCGTGGAGGTCCTCGCCCGCGGTCCAGCGTGCCCCTCTTGCAGACCACACCCCTCTGCAAACCACACCCTTCGGACATTCGCCGATCGGCGGGGCCCCGCCCAGGCTCCACCCCAGGAGTGGCGGGCAGGTTCGAGGTTCTGGGTTCCGTGAGGTTTTCTGCATCCTTGGGCCTGTGGAGACCTCTTTCGGGCCCCAGGGCCGTGAACAGCGGATGCCAGGTGAGAAACCGATCTAGGTGCACCCGGGCACCCGGGGAGGGGTCTGGGGACCGATTTTGAGCTACTTTGGTTCCATACCCCCTCATGGCCGATGATCTGGGGTCCTGAGTAAGACCCCCGCTCTCTCGAGCCGCGTGCAGCCGTTGCGACGGGAGCTTCCCAGCGGGCCCGGGCGAGCGTCGAAGCGTACTGGTGTATGAGATGTGGCGTCGAAGAGCTAGAGACGGCACGAGAATGATCCATCGGAGCTCTGGAAGTTTATGTTGATTCAGGTTGTTGCTGCTTCTGTGTCTGCGATTGGCGTCATCTGGGGATCCATTTCGATCCGATCGATCAGATTCAATGCCGATTTCGGCCAGCTGGATCCGATTCGATTTCGCACGATTCGTTCGATCCGATGCGGCTGGATGCTTGCACAGCGCAGTTGCGTATCCAGGCGCAGTCGATGCGATTCGATTTCAGCTCCGCATCGATGCATCCCGATTGGATGCTCGTTCCGACGCGGTGGGATTTCGCGATCCGGCGGTGCTGGCTGATCCCGTCTCCCTGCGGATGAAGGGTTTCTCCGAAGGGCTTAGGCGACCCGTCCTCCTCCTCCTCCTTCTCCTCCTCCTCCGCCTCCTCCCTCCTCCTCCTCCCTCCTCCTCCTCCTCCTCCTCCTCCTCCTCCTCGGAAAAACTGGGCCAGAAATGATAGCACTGACAAGGCTTGGGTGGAGTAGGAGCGGAGGGAGGCATCAGAGGGGGCACGAGTGGTGGGGATGATGTAGGCTCGCTCTAGCCATTTCTGCTCGGCCGATTTCCATTGATCGAGGTTGGTGGCTCCTGGGCCAATTTGGACCCCCAGGTACCGGGCGAAACTGGAAACTTTAAATCTCGACCATTCTGGAATCAGCCGTAGCAGCTGCGATTCGATCTCTAGGCGCACGTCCGGAGAGACCTCGCACCATAATGGCACGAGCACTGTTTTCGCGGCTTGCAAATGCAATGCCGCTAGCCGCTCAGAGGCCTCGAAAACGGGGCGCACGCTCAGGAGGTGCTCGAATCTCTTCAGCATGGCCCCACGTCGTCCGCGCATGCTCCGGCGTCGCCCTTGCCGGTGGCGACGATCTCACGATGTAGGTGCCGCAGTATGGGGTCCATTGCCATCGCCCATAAAGTTCCCGACAACGGGCAACCTTGGGCGACGCCGCCTGTGGCCCAGAACATCGGCACGTGGAGGTGCCCAATGCGGCTGAAGACCAAGCCGTTCTCGTAGAGCGACATGATGGCGTTGATGTACCCGTCAGGCAAGAGGAATCGTCGGAGGACTCTCCAAAGCCACCCCCGCGCCAGCGAAGGGAAGGCCGCCTTCACGTCGAAGCTGATGAAGCATGGCTTGGCCTCGACCGCATCCAACTGGTTCGAAGCGATGCGCGATTGGGCGTCCAGCCGTGCAACATGCTGGATAAACTGGCGCTGCGGGATGAAGCCCTGCTGGATGACGTGGACTTCCTGCTGCGCCACGGTCTTCAGCTTCAAATTGATCGTGGCCGCAAGGAGTTCGCTGTCCGTGTTCTTGAGCAGGAGTGGTCGTAGCGCATGTGGATGCCGTAGTATTTCAACGCGGTCCTCGAACTCGTCGCCTTTCGGCAACATCACCAAATCTCCATAATTGAGACCAGGTGGCACCGGGTGGCCGGCAAAGATGCGCAGCAGCATGCCGAACAAGCACTCGACGAACTTATCATTGGCCTGCTACGCCGAATACGGCAGTCGATCTGGGCCAGGCGCAGAATCTGATACGCGTGCTAGCACCCGCCGCATGTCTGATATGGAAGGGATGTCGATGTTGGGCGAGGCGCGGGCAGGCATGTGCTCATCCAGATAGCGATCAATTGCGTCCTCATCGACGCGGGTGTCCCTGAAGATCGGTTCCCAATGTGCTGCAATGGCCTGGATGATGTCCTCCGGCCGCCGAGCGATGCCCGCCTCGTCGGGATGGGAATGCGCGGCGTGCGGATCTTGCTGAGGGTCGTGAGGTTGATTCTGTGGCCTTGTTCGGCCCCCGGGCGGCGCCGGCAGGTCACCGTCGTAACGCGGGTCTTGCTGGAGGTCGCGAGGTGGACTCGGTGACCTGTTTGGCCCGCCGGGGGGCGCCGGGAGGTCACCGGAGCAATGCGGATCTTGCTGGAGACCGCCAGGTTGAGCCATGCGAACTCCTGACAATACGAGTCGTCGACGTTGCGGCGCCCACATCATGGCGCGTCGCTGGGCCGCTCGAGCGATCTTCCTAGCCGAACTTGCAGACAGACGCTGCTCTCCGACTCCATGCTGATGCCGGCGCTGTAGGCGCTCTGCCGCCTGCGCCTGCTGCCGCTCGGCCCAAGCGATGTTCAGCATGCCGGTGTAGTGCTCGAAGTCCTGCTGGTCTGTGAGCGTGATCCTCGGTGTGAGCTCATCGTCGGTCTCGCTGATCATCAAGTATTTCCGCCCGAGCTGCGTGGTGGCCACCAGCCTGGAAGCCAGGCGCGCGTCCTGTAGCCAGGCGCATCGTGCAATCGATCTCATAGTGAGGCGGCGTGCGTCCTCCGCACCTTCGGAGGAATCCCCGATGGGCAGCTGAATGAGTTCGTTCCTCGTTTCCTGCGCTGCATTCACCATGATGCCCTTGCAAGTTTGCCACGCGCGCGTGACGCTCATATACTCCCACGAAGTCTGCTGAACATGCTGCTCATCACGCCGTTTGAACCGCGGGTGCTTGAAAATAAATGCTGGAATGTGCTGGTCCTTCTGGTGCATTGGACACTTCACCTGAAGCTTGAACTCGATAATGGCATGGTCACTCAGGTGCCAGTCGCTCAAGTGCTCGGCCTCCTGCAATACAGTGACCGTGCAAGTGGTCTCCTGGATGTAGTGCGGCGAGGCGGATATGAAGATGCGATCGATGAAGCTGCAGGATTGGTGATGCTTCGAGTAGTGTGTAGGCAGGTTGGTTTCCATCTCCACCATGCCGCTGTCGTAAAATAGCCGTCGCCAGAATGGCTGTCCATGCTGCGCTCTACTCGCCTCGCCTCGTGGCAATCCTGCGGGATGGGTAAGTGAGCAAGCCGGCTTGTCAGAAATATTGAAGTCCCCGGCCGCGATGAATAATTTGTCCAACTCGTCGTCCTTCGCCCACCGCTGCGAGGCTAGCCAAGCTCGACGAACTCGTTGCCTGTCGCCGTGCGTCAGGTTGTGGTTATGGACGTTGAGAATGCGGAGCTCCTGCCGAGATACTGGGTTAGCAATGCTGACAAGTGATATGCGGCCATCGACTATGACCTCATGGCGCACTTGAGGCTGCTCGTCTGGAGGTATCGCTGCGAGTGCAGCGTCTGTGTGCCAAGGGATTAGGATCGCCTCGCCGCCGCTGCCTCGGTGATCACCAGGGTTGAAGGTGAACGTGTACTCCGTCGGGTACTTGTTCAGAATGGTCCGCAATGTATCTGCGCACCCATGGCACTCTTGCAGTAGGATGAGTGCCCGCTGCTTCATAAAGGGTTGCAGCCGTTGAAATTTCAGACGCCTCTTGCGACTGTTCAGACACATGAGGCCGCGGCAATTCCATGTGAAGACCTGGAGAGGGGAGGTCTCGTGCTTGCTGGTCATGGTAGCACGCGACGTCGTGGGTGCGTCGGGAAGGGCGTCGGGAAGGGCGTCGGGAGGGGCGTCGGGAAGGGCGTCGGGTAGGGCGTCGGGTAGGGCGTCGGGTAGGGCGTCGGGTAGGACGGCGGGAAGGGCGTCGGGAAGGGCGTCGGGTAGGGTGTCGGGTAGGGCGTCGGGTAGGGCGTCGGGAAGGGCGTCGGGTAGGGCAGGAGGCGTGGGAGGAGGAGGAGAAGGATTGAGTTGCCGCGCTGGGTATTGATGTCCAGACGGGCATTGCGGCTGCCCCGGCAGCGGGAGCGGCGGAGCAGGTGATGAATGCGACATCTGTTGATCTTCTTGGCCGTGACCTGGTACGGGTACATGTGGAGGCCGCGGAGGAGCCGGCATAGCCGGCATAGCCGCCCTCTCCAGTCCATGCTTGATCGTGAACGCCTCTTATTGCATCGTGTTTTGCGCCTCCCTCCGAATTCATTCGATGGCCCTACGCTTCACTCATTGTGTGGCTGGGTCCCGGGAGGGCGCCATAAACCGCTTGCGCCCTGGTGCCAGGCTCACCTGTGGCGCACGGGTGGCCTTACGGTGCAAGAATGGGGCCCCTGGATCGAACAGTTGCGAACCAGCGCGGAAAATTGCCGTGAAGTTGTCGCGATTATCCGCGGCGAGTGGTCTGGACCATTATGGAAGGAGCCACAGGCCATAGTACAGAGGTGGGCCGAAGCATTAGACAGCATACCGTGGCATAAAATGTCACGGTCGCGCCTATGCACGGCAAGTCAGGCAGCGACCCAAGGATGCGCTGCTGCCGCTGCCGAGCAGCGCCGAGCACGGCCCCAGAGTCTGTACCTCTCCTCCCTCGTCACCTCCCTCTACCCCGACACCATGCCCAGCCTCTTGCGGAGGCGGTTTGAAAAATGGGTTGGTGAATTAGCTGCGCCAGAGCTCCGTGAGCTCCAGCAGACCTGGCCGGAGCTGAAAGCGATTTTCATGAATTCAAGGCCAGCGTGGGTCTGGGCACACATCAAAACCATAGTGGGCGGTTGGACGACCACACACAGAGTCAAGGTCGAGGCGCCTGCCAACTGCCTTTTCGGATGCCCTCATTGTCGGGATTATTTTCCTCACTACCTCACTTGCCCCCGCCTCCTTGGCTTCATGTCCCTCGTCCGCTCCCCTCTCCCCTCCGACCCCGTCATCCGCATCGGGCTCGCTCTCCCGTCATTGTATACTTCCCAGTTCGAGCGAGAGAGTGCCCATGCATACACGGTGCTGTCATTTCACTTTTATAACAAAGTACGGCACGCTGCATCCCCACCCCAATCTCCCTCATCATACGTTCACTTACTGCGCGCAGCTCAAGCTGCCATCAGCATGTAGATGGGATCGGCACCTGCTGCGCCTCATGCTACTTGCGCTCCTCCTCCTCCTCCTCCTCCTCCTCCTCGTCCTCCTCCCCCTCCCCCTCCTCCTCCTCCTCTCCTCCTCCTCCTGGGGTCGCCTGCAGCCCACGGGGGAAGCCGTGCACCTGCGAAGGGCAACCACGTGCTGGTGCACATCCCGCTCGGGGCGCCCGCCAGGGACGCCCTGCTCCGGGTGCGGGCCGAGGCGCGCAGGCTCGGCTCGGGGTGCGCCGACATGTACTTCACGGCGCTGAACATCACGGGGGCATGGGCCACGGCGAAGCGCAAGGCAGGGCTCGTGCTGCTCCCACCGCACTTGAGCACCACATCCCAGAAGTCACTTCGAGCACCCAGAAGGGTATCGGAACGGCGTCGAACGAGTACCGCCTCCCAGGGCCCGACACGTGAAAGCCCTCCAGATCCGGCACTTCCCTGGTGCCCCAAAATTCTTTTTGGCGATCAAGGCTAGAGCAGGTTGGAACAATCATAAGGCAGGGCCCGTTGTCGATCCGACCGATCCGATCTGACATCGATCCCGGCCGGCCCCATCTGATTCGCGTTAAGTCGGGCGTGTCCCCCTACAGGGGGATTTTCGACGAATTCTAAAAAATACCCAAAAATAGTCGAAACTCCCCCTGTGGGGGGACAGGCCTGATTTAACGCTACCGATTCGATCCGCCATTCCCCGAGTCGATGCTGACTGATCCTGCAAGGGCGGATACCGCTACCGAGCGGACCACGCCAGCAACTTGTCGGAAGGGTGGATACCATTCCACGGGGTAGCCGAGGCACCAGAAAATTGTACAAGCATGAGCTTCAGAGCTCCACGCAGATTTCTTGGATCTGTGCTGAGCCCCCCCTGGCGCCCCTTTCCCGCGCCGCCCCTGGCTCGCCCCGCGCGCCAGGAAAAGGGTGCCCGGCGCTGATCCGGGGTATCCGCGCTGAGCTCTGACAGTTTAGCCGTGTGCCGTTTTTTGTCCTCACAGGTCAAGTTGAAGGTTGCTCATGGACGTACGCTTCGTGGCACCAGCTACCTGAACTTCTACGTCAGGCATCTCAGCACAGCGGCACTCCCTGTTGGGGGCCTGCTCGGCGAGGATGACCACCGAGCGGTAGCTACGCCCACGGAGTCGTGCACGAAGCGCCTATCTCTGCACTCGCACCGCTGGGGGGCGCGCGGCGCCGAGAGGCCCGAGGGCTCCACGGCGTCGGCGGAGCTGATGTGAAAGCTGTCTTCGCGGGGGCCCCCTGGCCGCCCGTGTGGAGCCAGACAGTGCGGACGGGAGCAGGCGCGGCCAGGAACGTTGGCGCAGCATGTCGCGCCGCCAGCTCTGGCCCGCCGCGCACCGGCGCGACACGCGACCCACGTCCCAGCCCCCAAGTCGTCAAAGTCCCGGGCCTTTCGGAGCCTCGAACCCCGCGGAGCGGAGCGAGACGCTGTCAGATCGCAAGGGATAGTGTGTCGCTGGGGCCGCCGCCGCGACACGCGAAGCAAAAGTTCCTGACCGTAGGGGTTGGAGGACTGCGCCGCGTCGCAGGAGCATCGACGATGAATGCTCGATCTGGAGCCCGATCTGGTCCATCCCGAGGTCGCCAAAGCACCAGCGATTTACCGGCGAAACGGCACGATCCTCCGACCCAGTCCGGTCCCGTCTGGGCAGCGTCCGGCGACGGACTCACAGACGGGCATTCGCGTGCGCGCCACGGCGCCGTCCCTGCAAGGACGCAGGGGAAACGCCGAAGCGCGTCAAGTTTTGATTTTTGGGTTGGTGGCAAACGACCATGGATTCCCTGCTATCTCAAGCCCCAGGCGCATAAGCTGCCGCTGGCTGCCCCTTTTCCTTAGGATACGCCTCAACGTGACCCTTCGACATCGTGTTTCTATGTGCGGGCCCACGGGGATCCCCCGCGGTGGATTGCTCGGACCCTTGGCACAGGCTTGAGCGCATGGAATTGGACTCAAGGCACAGGCTTGCGCGCGTGGATTTGGAATCCCCTGCGGTCCGCGGCCCCCGGGAGCCGAGCGCAAAAGGTCAATCTTGCATCGGGTAATTCTTTTGTGTAGCCGATTACGGTTCGGTTTACGCTTATATTTGATTCTTACGCCTCGGCCAGCAGCAATCCTCGCCAGAAGGTCCACACGTGTGAAATTACCACAGATCAAGGTGTTTGGACTCCAGACAGTAGGTTCTTGCACGATCGATGTGCGTCACGCGTGGTGTGGGCCATCTTGCTGCAATCTACGCGGTGGCGTATACGTTGTGTCATCTATGGGGTGCGCTATCGCGTGCAAGCTACGAGGCGCAAGAAACGTGATGCAACCTACTCGCGGAACATGGGCGAGTTTACGCACTCACGCTCGCGGGACTGCCACATTGTCTGCAGTTGCACTTGTGGGCGGGCACCAGGCCCAAACCCGAAAGGCCCAGACAGCACACATGTTTCATCGCGGCGCGGCAGAGGCAATCCGCACGCGCGCTCGTAGTCCGGGGCACGGAACAGCGATGGTCCGGCGGCACGAGAGGGCGGAAGGAGGAAGGCGGCCGCGGGGGGGGCGGAAGGAGGGGAGGTATTCACAGCGCGATGGACCCAGGCAGCGCACGACACGAGATGGCGATGAAGCGGCAAAGAATGGGCACGGGGCGAGCACTTGGCAGACCCAGCCAACAACACGAGGAGGCGACGAGGCAGCGACGGGCGGGCACTGGGCGGACACACCTGGAAGGCCCGCCCAGTTGGCCCGGCAACCGAAGCAACAGCCCCGGAGTGCAAGCACGGTTTGGACAACTACGCGGGTCGCCACGTCGTCAGTGGGCAAGTCGGGGCGGAAAAGCAACGGTTTGTTGCCGCTGTGGCAGCGTTTGTCGCGGCACGTTGGTTTTAGCTGAACACTGCCCGATACATGTTGCCCCGAGGCGCGTTGCAATGTTCGCCAGTGCGGACCCCAAACAGTGCGCCTCTAGCAATGTATGTTGTGCAATATATGTGACGCAATATCTGTGGGCCAAAATTCGTGGCGCAATTGTTTTTTATGTATTTTTTTTTATATATATATATATATATATATATATATATATATATATATATATATATGCCACATCCCACGCTCTTGCAAACATCCCTCCCACCCACCCACCCGCAATTTGGTTTGCAAAACCCACGCGGTGGCGATTGCGATGACTGTTTGACGTTGGCTGGTCCATCTCTGCGGCCGCGCCAACCCGAGCACGCGCGCGCAGTGGTCAGTTAGTTTGTCGCGACGGACGCGGCCGCGGTGGCGTTGGCAGTTGGGTACATCCTGGCGGGCACTTCGTTGCGAGTCGGTGATTTGGGCGGGCGCGGTATCATGACAACGTCGAAAGTGGTTGACACGGTGATGGTAGTCGCGATGCCGGTGACGATGTTGGCAACGACGGCGGCGCGGCCAGTGCGGGCGCCGATGCTGATCACACCGACGGCGATGACGGCGCCCTTGCGCAGGCGATGATGAGTTCGACATGCGCGCGCGGCCGCCGCGCGAGAGTGGCCCACACGGTAGTATTTGACACGGATCGTGCACCCCCAGCGCGTTCGCAAGGGCGCGCGAATGATGTCGGCATGCGGCGCGAGAGGCCCGTTCGGCGCAATTCCATTAAAAATGTTTTGCCAAATACAGCAAAAATCCGTTTTCGTCTCAAGAATTCGCAAGTGCGCGAGCGCGCGCTTTCTTGAAAATTGGCGTTGCGAAACCATGTGTTTTAGCATGTTGTTTTGACACTCGGTTTTGTCATCGCTACGACAACCAAGGTTTTCAACGGAATCAGGCATGCGCGCGCGACGACGCGCGCGCGTGCATTTCGCTTCTGTTGTCCACAGGGTTTTCGCGACGGCACTCGCGCAAGGGCGCTCGAACGATTTCGACATGCGCGCGCGAAGTCCGTGTGGTAGCATGTGGTAAAAATGTTGGAAAATATTGTCTTACGAATTCGCAAGAGCGCGCGCGAGAGCATTTTTGAAAACCCGCGCTGCGAAACCATTTGTTTTCTGTAAGTCGCTTGGACACTCGGTTTTGAAATCCTCACGAAACCGAAAGTGTTTGAAGGATTTCGGCACGCGCGCGTGACGACGCGCGCGCGTGAACTTCGTCATCTCTTTTCCTGTGATGTTGGAAAACTGCTATTTTATGATAAGCGAGTATGCGCGCATGTAATCTGTCGCAGAGGATGACGGGGGGGGGGCGATGCCGGTCGGGCCGGGGTAATGTGAACGCATGATTAGGATGGACGATGGGGCAGAATCATACGTAAGTTGCAGCGCCGATAATCCCGGGGGTGGCAGAGTTCGTCCCAGAGGTCTTTTAGATAACGTTTTGTTACCGGGCTCAACGCAACGTTATCTGATAACGCAAGGCGTTATCAGATAACGTGTGCCACGTGTTTCTTGTATACCATTAATTTTTCCACCCAAAACATTATCATCACATCACCATCATCATCACATATAATATGTTCACGCGTTTATCATTTTATAGCGGCTCTCGCTTGAGACATTCTCTTCATATTATCTTGGAAGCCTGGCGTTGCCTGTCTCGGGCGCCAGTAGTGAGTCGTTGTGCGAGTGCGAAGCTCGGGTGACTGAGGATTGAGAGCACATCGAAGATACCTAGGAGGATGGCGATGACGAAGAGGGCAAGGATGACGAGGAGGAGGGAGGAGGAGGAGGAGGAGGAGGAGGAGGAGGAGGAGGAGGAGGAGGAGGAGGAGGAGGAGGAGGGAGGGAGGGAGGGAGGAGGAGGAGGAGGAGGAGGAAGAGGAGGAGGAGGAGGAGGAGGAGGAGAAGGAGGAGGAGGAGGAGGAGGAGGAGGAGGAGGAGAAGGAGGAGGAGGAGGATGAGGAATCAATGACGTTCGTGAGGGCAGATGGGCGTCAGCTCGACTGTCATCGATCCGTTGTCACTGTGCAGCCGTTCTGGCTTCGGATGAGATCCTCCAGGAAGCTGGAGTTTTCGTTCCGTCCCAAACAGTTTTGGGACACGCCGCTCGGCCGCCAGCTCGAGCGCAACCGAGCTGTCATGAGCGCTGCGACGGAGGCGGAGCTCCGCCAGCAGCTCGCCGAGCAGGCCGCCGAGTTGCAGGCCATGCGAGAGCTCTTGAACAGAATCCAGGACACGGTCGATGCACCCGAGCCTCGCGTGGCCGCCGCCGCCGCCGAGGTGCCCAGTGCTGCTGCTCCCGCGCCCGAGGCTGCGCCTGCCGAGATGCCGCTCGAGGTCGGGCCGCCCGTCGTTGCCTCGCCCACGCCTGTCGAGCGCCCCAGCGAGCCCGATCGCGGCGAGGTCATCAACATCGGTGATAGCGTCGACAGTGCTGATGATGCGCCGTCCACCGTGCAGGGACACCCTGAGGAGATGCAGACGCAGCTGGACGGTGTCTCGCACTTCGAGGACGCTCAACTACCGCTGGGTTCCAGCTTCGTCGACGCCGGCGGCCCTGGTGCAGCCGAGAGCATCGAGCAGGCCATCCAGCAGAGCCTCGAGCAGGCGCAGAAGGACGGCGTGGACCCATCACTGGTGCCTGACTTCGCGACGGACGCGAGCCACACGGCGAGGTCTGCGAGCTGGCGTGCTGATGACATCGAGGGCGGCGGCACCAGAGGCGATGGCAGCGCCAGGTCGCGCAGCGGGAGCACGCGCGGGGCGGCGTCGGCACCTCGGGCGGCCAGCAGGAGGCAGAGATCGTCGGACATCGACTCCGACGACGCCCCGCTGTCGATCAAGTCCGAGCGCCCGCCCACGGCGCCGAGGCGCAGGAGTCGCAGCAGGAGCCGCACCTGCGACGCACACGCGTCGCTCGGCGACCTGACGGAGCAGGACCGCACCGAGGGGAAACCAATAGGATGAGGATCCAGGAGTAAACGAATGAGCAGGACGAGGGAGGATATAGGTTTCATGCAGCAATCTCACTGTTGTGGAAGCGTTCTAGGCGAACGCGCGTACTCGATATACAACACAATGTATATCGGGTCAGGGACTCGGTGAGTCCAATGAGTTTGAGGCTTGGGTGAGGGTGATGTTGATGATGATGATGACGATGACGGTGGTGCTGATGATGCTGCTGATGATGATGATGATGCTGGTTATGGTGATGATGATGATGATGATGGTGATGATGATGATGATGATGATGATGCTGATGCTGATGCTGATGCTGATGATGATGATGATGATGATGATGATGATGACACACTGT